GTATCTACCTAGTGTAAATGTTAACTTCATATGCCTGTCTTTTGTTCGGCTGGAAGCCACAGGAGTGGGTTCATGTGGTGGTTAACTTTGTGTGTCAACTTGGCTGGCCCTGTTTGAGTGGCTGGCCAGGTGAATTTAGTCATTCCCCATGGGGAGATTGCTAATTAACTCCATGGTGGAATCTCTTGTCACAGCTGAGTAGCTGCTTTGGGTATGTGGTCTACTTCCCATATATAAGAAACAGCTTTGAAAATGGTCTCTAACTTAGGGCATGCTTGAACCCTCCATGTAGCTACGTCATTGTTCAGCAGCCTGCCATGCTCTGCCAAACTTGGGACTTTCAGTGGACTTGAATTAATGGTCTGTCATGTGGTTTAGAAGCTGGACTATATGAAGAAAAACGTGGCATCAGGATTGGAGGAAGAATCATTAACCTGAGATATGCAGACGATACAACTTTGCTTGCTGAAAGTGAGGATGATGTGAGGCCTTTACTGATGAAGGTTGAAGAATACAGTCTGCAGTATGGATTACGTCTCAATATAAAGAAAACAAAAATCCTCACAACTGGACCAATGAGTCGCATCACAATAAATGGAGAGAACATTGAGGTTGTCAAAGAATTCACGTTGCTTGGTTCTACAATTGATGCCAGTGGAAGCAGCAGTCAGGACATTAGATGACGTGTAGCATTGGGAAGGTCAACCGCAAAGGAACTGCTTCAAGTACTGAGAAGCAAGGATGTCTCCTTGAGGACTAAGGTGCGCCTGACACAAGCCATGATATTTCCAATCGCCTCATATGCATGTGAGAGCTGGACAATGAATAAGGAAGACCGAAGAACCCCAGCATCCTATGAATGAACACTGTGGTAGGATTGTAAAATGGTGCAACCACTGTGGAAATCAGTATGGCACTTCCTTAAGAAGTTGGAAATAGAAATACCACTTGATCCAGCAATCCCAGAACTAGATATGTATACTAAAGAAGTGAGAACTGAGACACGAATAGACAGATGTAACACTCAATGTTTATCACAGCACTATTCACAGTAGCAAAGAAATGGAAACCACCTAACTGCCCATGAACTGATTGATGATAAATAACCAAACTATGATACATATACATGATAGAATACTACACACCACTAAAAAATAATAAGAAATCCTAGGTATATATCCTAAAGTGAGAACAAGGACACGAATAGTGTTCATCACAACACTATTCACAATAGCAAAAAGATGGAAACAACCTAACCTCAGTGCCATCAACAGATGAATGGATAACCAAACTACGGTACATACATGCAGTGGAATACTACACAACACTGAGGAATAACAAAGAATCTGCAGAACATATCATAATGTGGATGAACAAGGAGGACATTATGTTGAGTGAACCAAGTAAATCACAAAAGGACAAATACTGTATAATTCCACTATTCTAAAAAGTCAAGGAAAGGTTTACAAATGTGTGATAGTTGTAGCTGTGTGTCAACTTGGCTGGACCACAATTCTGTGTGATTTAAGCAACTGTGATGGGGGTTTTTCCCATGATGGGATCAGATGTATATGTTTTGAGCAGCCAAACCGTTGAAAGGGAGTTTCCCTAGGGGTGTGACCTGCTTTCAATATATTTATGAACATCCTGGGAGAAGGGACACTCTTCTGTGGATTGGGTCCCTGTTGTGCTGCCTACAACTGTCTGTGAGGGAACAATCCATGATTCAGCCTACAGATCTTGGATTTGTCATTCGTTGGAGTCAACAGCCAGTATCCTGCCTCTCAACCTTGAGCTCATCAGCCCCTGCAGCTGCATGTCAGGAAAACCCTCCATCCGGACATTTGATCCAAGAACTTGGGACTTGCCAGCCTCTGTAAGTGTGTGAGCCATTTTCCTAAGATAAACTTCTCTTTCTCTATATGTATATGCAAGCTTTACTGGTTTTGCTTCTCTAGAGAACCCAGTCTAACACATTTGGTACAGGGAGTGGTTCTAGAAACAAAATCATAAGGATGGGCTTCCTAAATTGGTTCTCACCAATTCTGTTTTGTTTCTCCAATTTGATTAATCATAAAGGCACTGATGACTCTGCCTCCATTGGTAAAGAGGGCCCTGCTAATCCATGGCGTAAGGTGGCAACATTAATATGCAAAATAGCACCACCAACAGATCAAGTACTTTTGAGAAGTGAGGTTCTAGGTGATCGCATATTTGATACTTTTCTGCAATTCTGTAAGCATGAGGAGTATAAGGAAGCTGGTTAGTTGGTCGTACTTGCTCTAGACAAAGTGGTGAAAGAGCGAGAAGAGTTCAGGGCTGCTGAGTCACGGCTTAAGCACCGCATAAAAGACCTCAATGTTTCCAGTTGTGCTCTGAAAGAAAGCCTTATTTCTTCTAGTAACAGAGCTGATATTGCTGAAAATCAAACCCAGAGACTTACTGTAAGGATGGCTGAATTACAGGGCCAATTAAATTGCCAATCCAGAATGGTGTCTGAGTTAAAGTGAGGGCACTGATTGGGAAAAAATGGGATCCTGAAACCTGGAATGGGGACATATGGGCAGACAGTCAGGAAGATGAGGTCATGAAGCCTGTAAATTCTGTTGAATGCCTCCCATCTGAAGGGATTACTATAAAACCATCATCCCTTCTACCTCGGTTTGATGGGATCATCCCAACTGTTCCTGCTGGGTTCATGCCTGAGGTAGAGGCCATGGAAGACATTGCTGAGTGTTCTCAGGAACTTCTCTAACCACCCATTGCTGCTGCTAGACCTATAACTAAAGTTAAGTCCAATGAGCCCCAAAAGGTGAAAAAACAAAGTGTGACTGAGGAGGTGGTATGCTACACCTGAAAAGACCTACTTGATTTTGCCAGCATGTACAGACAGAAACATGAAGAATATGTATGGGAATGGCTACTGAGGATGTGGGATAATGATGCAAGGAATGTAACACTGGATCAGTCTGAGTTTATTGATTTAGGCCCACTAAGTATGGATTCTTCATTCAATGTTTCAGCTCGAGAGGGTAGGAAAGGATCTAATAGTTTATTTAGTTGGCTTACTGAAGCATGGATTATGCAGTGGCCTACCTTAAGTCAAGATGAAGTACTAAACCTACCTTGGTATAATGTAGAAGAGGTATCTATAAGCTTAGGGAAATTGGCCTGTTGGAATGGATTTAACAGATAAGACCCCTAAAGCCAGAAATGGAGAGTCCAGAGAATACTACTTTCACCACTACGGTGAGAAATAAATTTGTGACGGGAACCCCAGCATCCTTGAAGACTGCTGTGATTTCTTTTTTATGTAAGCCAGATTTGACACTGGGAACTGCCCTAATTCAATTAAGACACTTAACTATGATGGAGCTGACTGGACCCCACGGTAGTAGGGGCCAAGTGGCAGCAGTTAATCAACAAAGGCATGGTGGGCATGGTTACCATAATGGAAAGCAGAGTCAGAACAGTAATCAGAATACTCTGACTCATGTGGAATTATGGCATTGGGTACTTGGCCATGGTGTTCCTAATAGTAAAATATATGGCAAACCTACTAAACGCTTACTTGATCTGTATCGTCAGAATTCTAGGTCACATGAACATCAGCCTAGATTCAATCTCCAGAATACAGAGTCAGGGCCTCTCAATCAATTCCCAGACTTGAGTCAAGTTTACAGACCCACAACCCCTTGAATGAAGGGGAGGCAGGGTCACCTTGAGAAAGGAATCCATTACATTGCCAAAAATTTATAATGTCAATCTTTCTCCAAGCCTTCCCCATAGGGATCTGAGGCCTTTCATGAGAGTGACTGTTCACTGGGGAAAGGAAATAATCAGACTTTTTGGGGATTACTGGACACTGGCTCTTAACTGACACTT